CATTTATGTTTCCACACTTATGTTTCCAAAAAACATTACATGGAAAAAAACGTTCACGAAGACAGCATGAGGTCTACCTTGAAGCTGCTGGGGGGCACTGCCAGAATCGGATGAGCCCTGGGAAAGACACCCCCCCCCCTTTCACACATGTATAAAGTTTTGCAGCAAGTCCCCAAAGGAAAAAAAACCCAGTTCCGGCTTGTGCCTTATGTCATTGAGGGAGGGGATCCAGTGAAGTCCGAGAGGTAGAGGAGACTGGAAGTGCCCCTCCTCCCCTCCTGTCCCTTCCATCTTGTGGAAAAATTGAAGGAGCAGATTTACATTCCAAGAGCGTGTGGCCTCCAGGCTTGTTTGAGATACTGAGGATTGTTTTCGATGGTAGGACCGGTTTGCGCTTTTTGTCAATGAGAACCCACACCTGCTTCCCACCCAAGAAAACCAGGATCTGGGCACCTGCCAAGGGCCCAACCAGGTTATCATAGTAGGTTGTTTTGTTTTTTGAACCTAGCCATCAAAAATAAAAACAATTCAGCATCAATGCTAGAAAACTAGTGACTTTAAATTTGCATGCATTTAAATGAATGAACATATACTTGAGAAATGGCCTTCTCTTGTTCCCTTTTTCTTGGGAGCTGAAATAGATTTGAGTGGAAATTTTCAAGCAAATGTTGGTAACTCAAACATCCTTGTAAATGCTGGCACAAATATTCTCCTAATGTAATGCCCTCTTCCTCTATTCTTTCTTTCTTTTTTGGTAATTAAATTGTGGAGGCAAACTCATGAATGAGGTGTCTAACATTGGCTGTAAGACATGAGAGCATAAAACAAATCTTCTCGTTTCAGAGGCAGTATACCTTTAAGAAATAGTTGCTGGGAGCAAACTCCTAAAAGATGCTCCATTCATGGGCTTTCCCGAGCCTTCTGATTGGCTGCGGCTGTTACAAAGACAATGCCAGACCAGATACATTGGGCCTTGCGTGTGACCCATCCGCATGAATTATAGATGCTGCTGGACTTAAAGGATGCAGGGGAAAAACTGCCTGCGAAATGTTGAACTTGGCCAATGAATACGTCGAACAAAACTTGGCTCACATTTTCTGGCAAAAGACTCTTCTTTTATATTAAACACAGCATTTGAAAATGGAGTTTCTTTCCAACCGAATTTTGGAGTTTGAAATTTCAGACTGAGTTGGTGCAATGATTTATTTTAGCTGTCCAGCATCTTACCTCTGAGGAGACAGGAAGGGAGGACTTCTCAGGGACGGCTTGCATTGCGTTGCCTCAAATGCCCTCCCCCCCCCACCCGCTTTTACTCTTCATTCACCCTGCTGTCTGGGTTTTGTAGCTGGCCCTTGCAGAAAAAAATAGGTTATTGTACTCACTGGCTGGTGAATCTAATGGAGAAAATATAAAAGGCAGGAACTGAACTGGGGATCGTCTACATTCCAGCTTAGGAGAGCAATCTGAGACTGGTCTCCTGGCCTAATTGGGGTGAGAACAGGATAAGGTTTCAGTTCTGGGAGATCTTAAATGCTGGTGTTATCTCTAACTATGAGCAGAGATTCTTTCCTTCATTGTGATCATCCTCCTTCTCTCCACCCCGTGCTCGTTCCCAGGATGATTGCTATTAAGGAAAGGCCTGCACCCCCCTCCCACAGCAGTCCTTGGCGAGTTGGGAAATGCCCCATATTTGGTGTGCGTGTGGGGGGGAAATAAGATTCCTTTTTAGATTTCACCACCTTCCCTTTTCTTTTTAGAAAAAAGCGGGAACACTGAAATCCAACAACTGGAAAGGGTGGCAGCAGTTTTTCTAAGGCTCTCTCCCACTGCAATAGGGCTTCTGACCTTCTAGCCTAGTACAAAGTTCAGGGGGTAGTTTTGCAGCCCTGGATTTGAAAAGATGCCCAATATGTCTTTCCTGGTACACATTTCCATTCCCTCACCCCTGACCAGCTGCGGTGGGCTCAGTTGTAGGACGTCATTACCCACTGAAGCAGGAAGTAGCTGTTCCTTACATGGTGAGCCCAGGCAGTCTGTATCCTGCTTTTTCCTCACAGTCACGCCTTTCCCACTTCCTAGTCACAGGCCACCCAAAGTCCCTTTCCCTAGTACAGTGTTTCTCAACCTTGGCCACTTTAAGATGTGTGGACTTCAACTCCCAGAATTCCC